TATAATAACGTTATTATTATGATCACTATTAATAGTATTATCATCATTATTATTACCACCATTATCTTCATATGATGATGGCACAACAGCAACAATAATACAAATAATGATAATGATAATTATAATAATATCAGTAGTAAAAATGAAAATGTTGATAAGATTAACAGTAATAAAAAATGATAATGATAACAGTAATACTACTAAAAATGAGAAATATTGAGAGTGATAATAATAACAATGATGATGATAATAGTATTAAAGATAATATTGATAACGTTATAGCTTAAGTAATAATCATAACAATAATAATTAGAAGCACTCAGACACCGCATACTTCCGCCAAGGCTTTAGGGTCACTGATCCAATAAAAATATTCAAACTTGAAGAATTACATTAGAATAACCTCTTTCTGAGGTACACTGGTGACGTTCGTAAACATGACTTAATGATGATAAAAATAGTTACCCCTGTATATCGCGTTAACTGATGCAATCATTTTAAAGAATCGTGGGTCCGGATCATGATCCATCACACCAAAATTGGATGGCATGTAAGTTCGGATAAGACACTCCTCTGGTAAAATTTTCACAGAAATCTGTTCTCAACCTTTTGAGTTATACTGCTAACCATTTAACAAACTAACACGAGCTACCAAAAAGATAACCTCCTTTGCGTGTGTGTAAATTTTTAAATTATATCTTTAATTACTGGCCCTCCACCACTACAACCTTTTGCGGATCACCTGTATTATTGCTAAGATTGAATAATTGGGTTTAAAGGAAACATTATTACTATTCAGATATATCATGAAAATTCACACACAATGCACACAAAATACTAAAATATTTTATGAAAATGGAATGAAAGAAAAAATAAATTTGCAATATAATTCATGTAAAGAAAATTAATATTACGCTTTTGGTACACTTTGTTCATGTGTGACCAATGTTCGTTAACTCAATAGTCATTATTTCCACACTAGATTTCTCACGTAAAGTCCGTGTGCTGATATGTCCTCGCTTTCTTCACTTTGCCTTACTTCTATCTCCTCTTCTCACTCCTCCTTACGCCTCATGCCTCATGCCTCACGCCTTATACCTTAGCTCTCACGCCTCACGGATGCAGACGGGCGCACTTATTGGTGACGCGAATCAGCACTTTTCTACTACACACCGGAAATCCTATTAATTTATAGAAACCCTATTTTAATTCATTTCTTTACTTTCTTTTTGTTCACTTTTAATGTCACTTTTCTACGTTTAATAATAAGTTAACAAGTGTTTATTTTTCCTTACCGAGGATTTGCAAAGCAGTTGTTGATTGCCTCCTCGGGTGGGCATGTCTCGTCTGGGCAGCTGTGCGTGTGAATGTGACGTCACACTAGGGGAATTCCCTGGACATTCACTAATTTCATTTTCATTTTTTAAATTTGATTTTCTTTTTTTCTTTTTTATTTATGTATCACACGTGTTCAGTTTATTTATATTGGTCACATTTTTTTATTTTCTATTTATGTATTTCTTTTCCATTTTCTTTGGTCACGCAATGGATATTGGTCACTTTTCTTAGGTCATTTGTTTACTCAGAAATAATTACAATGTTTCCAAAAAAAAAATCTATTTGTGTGCACAAAATACGCATAATCCGATCTGCATTCATTTACTCATTCAACATTTTATTTCATTCGAATGCACACTTCCTCATACACGTCACTGCTTCACAGGACTTCGTTCACACTTCGACTCGCACACTCACTCACTCTTAGCAGTCGCTACGTTCACGTAGGATAATGATCCTAACTGCCATTTGACCTTCTTTCTGACATTTAATTGCATTCCTTACCCTTTCATATATAAATATATATATACATTAGTATGTATGTATATATAAATAAGCATATATATATATATATATATATATATATATATATATATATATATATCGATATATATTTGCATAAATATATATATATATATTCATTTATTTATTCATATTAAATGAATGTACGCATATTTATATACATATGCATATATGCATGCATATACATATATATGAATATATAAACATATATACATGTATAAATGTATATGTATATGTGTGTGTGTGTGTGTGTGCATGCATATATACATATGCACACACATATGTATATAAACACATTTATATATATAAACAAATGTGTGTGCGTGTGTACATATATTGTTATGTATACATATACATACACCCTTATATATATGTAAATGTATACATATATATTATAAGTATATATGCATTTATATATATACAAGAGAGGGAGAGAGAAAAAAAATCTTTTTAAATGTAGTCTTTTCTTTATTTCTTTTACCTTATCTCTCACACGATTTGGATTTTTAAACATACTTCCTCGTGTTTGTGCTATTTGTTGAAAACAACAAAAAATAAATTAAAACTGTGAAGCATATAAAATGCATGGGTTGAGCGCGTGTGCGTGCACGTGGCTGCGTTGTGCATGTCCAGATGGATCAGTGCATCCGTCACAGTCCTCTCTCTCGAGGGTTCGGACGAGACCTTCCTTCGGGGCTTTCCCTTGGCAGGCGGAACCCCGAGGGATGCCATCAGGCTCCACAGCCGGGAGTTATTTATATCTGCCTTTAGGAGTGTTGCTCTGCCAGGGCATCATTCTCGGAGGATGTCAAATTTACCAATCGTTTGAGAAGGTATCAGATTACCAATGAAGGTATCATATTAAAAAACACATATATGCTGCAGTCTTTATTTTGGGAGGAAAATGGGTCAAGATGTTGCATCTATTGACTACAATGTTTATAGGTTTGCTGTGTTGCCTTATGAGGGTATCATTCGTAGAGGATATCAAGTCAAAAGCCAGGGATCCATATTCGCAAAGTCAATGCTTCCTTAGACACTTATGAATTTGAACACTTCGCTAATAGTTTCTCTTCGGTTAGGCTTGCAACCACGTTCATAAGGCAGGAGTTCATAAGAGACTTCTTGAGCTCCATGAAATGTAATAGCTGAAAGGCAGAAGAAGCTCGGATGAGAAAAACATGCACCTGAAGAGAAATGTAAATATGAAGTGAATTCACAAGAGTGCCGACTCATGAAATACACTCAATACTCACGTCAGCTTCTAGGGGTTCCTCAGACAAGTTGGAAAGGGCTGTAGATAAGGCCTCTTTTGCTACTGAATCCTCTGCTGCATCAATCTTTGTTCGCAGAAGTTCCATGACCTTAGTTACGTTGACCTCCTCGCCATCCTGAAGAGAAAGACAACAAAGGGGTCCTCTACATCACCAGCATCTGGAAGCTAAGATGGTTAAACTATATACTGAAACTCAATGCGAATATTTAGCACTTGTGAGTACACACGTACCAGGACTCCATGGTCTTCGAGGCGCACAGCGACACCAATCTTCGGCTTTCGCCGAGATACCCTTGAGTTCTTCGCGGAAGCACAGCGCGTGCTTTAGGTGGGGCTTCTTGTCGGAAGCCAAGGCAGGGTGTGAAGCTGACCAAGGCCAGAAAAAGGCGATTAGTATCATGTCCGAAGGGAAATCTCATGCAATCATCAATGGCATTGATGTCTGCTTGAGAATATACAATAAAGTCCTGAAATGGCTGTCAACATATCCTAATTGGTCGATTAAAAAAAATAATAATAATAATAAATAATGATGATAATAATAACTTACTCAAATGGGTGTGACCTTCTTTTTCGAGGCACTCTTTCATTTTTTCTTTCATGTTACTCATTTCGTCTTGGATGGCATCATAATATCCATGCACATCGTTTTAGCTGGAAAGAAGAGGGAGAGTTTGAATTACTCCTAAAGAAAATCCCAAAGGCATACAGTGGTCAATTCTGCTTCCAATATGTATTCATTGCGTCCACCGATCACAGACTCACCTTCATGAAGAGTGTGGTGGAACTCCTGGTCATTGGGATGGCCGTCTTTCATTCCGCTCGCGACTACAGCGAATGCCGCCACCAACACGATCGTCAACGTATTCATGATGGAAGCGTCTGTGGGTTAAAGATGTCGTGACTATAGCCTTTCTAGCGTGAGTGAACATTGTCGCTAATGCAGATCAAGGATTTTACCATCAAGTGTCTTGCACAAAACAAATGTCGACACAAAAATGCATGAACTCAAGTCTATTCCCGACAAACCATCACGCACACTCATGGCTAACCTGCGTCGTGATACGACTTGGCGTAAGTGCAAGAGGTGTGAGATGCACGTGGATGTGATTGCAAGCTTTATATGCGCGCGTTTGCCGGCGAGGAAGTGCCTGACGTCATGAACTGGCGTCACCAGTCCTGCTGTGGCCACGTGATACGTTTTCAGGTATTATAATGTTTGAATGAATGTTCAGTCTTCACAACTGAACAATTCCAAAGAACTAGTGCCACAAAAGGATGTATGTTTTCTTGTTGCTGTCCTTTTGAGCCCAACTGATGTGGTCACAGAAAAGAGTGCTAAATGTACAGCAATGCGTCAGATACGATAATGAATCGGCTTTGTTGAGCAAAGGCAGTTGTTCACATTTGTGAGAATTATTTCAGCTTTTCAATGCCGGCTTTGAAGGCGACCGTTCAGTGCCAAGATGATCCTTCATGAAAAGCATCTACGCGCTTACTAATTAGCACTGGTGCACATCCCACCACATTGGCTCCTCACAATTTCATTGTCTCTCCCTAAGTCCAAGCACCAAGCTCGAAATATCTGTAACAAAGTTCAAGATCGAGGGTTCACGAGGCCGCAGATGACAGGGGCCACAGGGGTTACGTCCCCCAAATCTCACAGGGACCCCAACCTGGTCCACCACTACTTTCCTACACTTTGGCATCTCACTGACTCATTAGCACCCCACTCAAGCGATCATCACCTTTCACTGCCTTTCTCTCAGACTGAAGCACTGCAACCGAATTTCTCTCACTCTGTATATATTCATATATGTGTGTGTGCGCGCGTGTGTGTATATATACGCATAACGATTACATTACTTACATTTAAATATATATAATGCATAGAAAGAATAATCATATATTTGGATATTTCTAATACTTATATATTTGTGTATATATGCTACTATATATATATATATATATATATATATATATATATATATATATATATATATATATATATATATATATATATATATATATATATATATATATATATATATATATATATATATGTATATATATACGTATATATGTGTGTGTGCCTATATATGTATATATATATATATATATATATATATATATATATATATATATATATATATATATATATATATATATGTGTGTGTGTGTGTGTGTGTGTGTGTGTGTGTGTGTGTGTGTGTGTGTGTGTGTGTGTGTATGTATGTGTGTGTGTGTATACGTATTTATACATATGTATGAATATATATATATATATATATATATATATATATATATATATATATATATATATATATATACATTTATACATATGCATATATATATGTATGTATATGTGTATATGTATGTATATATATGGATGTATATTTGTATATGAATACATGATATATGTATACATATATACATATATTAATATATATACATATATATAAATATATATGCATAAATATATACATAAGGGTGAATGTAATTAACAATGCAATTATCTCCCTACAACGATGGCATGTGTTTGTATTACTGCAAAGGATTGATGTGACTAAGCTCGCGTCCCAGAGACTGGAATAGATCACATAAACCGGTTCAGTTCAGCGAGATTTGCGAAGTCGAGCCTCCCCCGAGCCTTTCCTCTAGAGTGGCCCGGCACATACACCACGTGCATTTCCTTTTAAGAGTTTGGACGAGTATTTGTGAAACTCGGATCGGTTGCGTGTCCACAGTCTGCCCAGGTCGCTGGAGGAAGCAGTAGGTTGATAGAATGAAGCTGTCTTCAGGTTCGGGCAAAATTAAATCAAAGTAAAATCTTATTCAAAATTCGGATTCACCGACATCCGCCCCCGTGCCCCCCTCTCTCCCTTAGCCCCCTTCCATGAAGATATTTAGATCCGCCAGTGGTTTCCGTGAATCATCCTGACTCTTGACTTCAAGCGCGTGTTGGGACATTCGTGGATATTAAAAAATGATGTGAAATATTTTTCATGAAATTTCACGGCATGGGTAGTACCGCAAACGAAATTAGAAAGACGATAGTTCCGTGCAGAGTAAGCATATCCTTCACAGCGAAACAAAAGCTTCATCGAAATCAGTCCACTTTTTCTGCCTTTCATATTGCAAATCATGCAACGTCAGCAACCCTACGACGGACAAGGCCAAGGGCGTCCTGGTCTGACGGCGGAATGTACTGGAATTTTCCGGATAATAAAAAAAAAAAAAAAAAAAATTATAAGGTTTTTCTCTCTCTGCCATATCCCTCTCTCCCCTCTCTCTCTCCTTTCTCGTCTCTCTTTCTCACCTTCCCCCCTCTCACTCTCTCTCCTTTCTCTTCTCTCCCTCACTACTTTATTTGCCTGATCCTGTCACCTGGTCGACCTGCCTTCACTAGAAGCACTCAGAGAGCACATACCTCCGCCAAGGCAATAAGGTCACTCATGTAATAAAAATATTCAAACTTAAAGAATTACATTAAAATCACATTTTAAGTGCACAGGTATCGTCCGTAAGTCCGTAAACAACAAAAATGATAATAACAAATATGATAATGATAGTAATAAAAGTAATATACCCATAGCCTCTAATAATGATTATGGTAATAATAATACTGATGTGGATGATAATCATAACAATGACAATAGTGATGAAAATAATGGCGATGACAAAGATAATAACAGTAATGAAAATAATGATAATAATAATAAAGGCAATGATAATAATTATGATATATGTAATAGCGATGATGATAACAAAACTAATAATAATGATAATTATAATAATGATAATGACAATAAAAATAATGATAACTCTAACAGCCGGAAAAATAACTAAAACAAGAATTAAAGCAAAAGCAAGTATAAGTGTAGAAATGATGATAGCGAGGATGCGATGTAAGTATGATAATGATATGGATGATGATAATCATCATTATCACGATAAAAATAATTACCATATTTATATTAAAGAATTTTATTACTACTACTAATGATAATAACGATAATTAGGATATAATTATTATTATGATCACTATTAATAGCATTACTATCATTATTATTATTACCACCATTATCTTCATATGATGATGACACAACAGCAGCAACAATGCTGATAGTGATAATGATAATGATAATAATAACAGTAGTAAAAATGAAAATGTTGATAAGATTAACAGTAATAAAAATGATAATGATGACAGTAATACTACTAATAATGAGAATATTGAGAGTGATAATAATAACAATGATGATGATAATAGTATTAAGGATAATCTTGATAACGTTATAGCATAAGTAATAATCATAACAATAATAATTAGAAGCACTCAGACACCGCATACTTACGCCAAGGCTATAGGGTCACTGATCCAATAAAAATATTCAAATTTGAAGAATTACATTAGAACAATCTTTTTCTGAGGTACACTGGTGACGTTCGTAAACATGACTTAATGAAGATAAAAATAGTTACCCCTGTATATCGCGTTAACTGATGCAATCATTTTAAAGATTCGTGGGTCCGGATCATGATCCGGATCACCACCAAAATTGGATGGCATGTAAGTTCGGATAAGACACTCCTCTGGTAAAATTTTCACAGAAATCTGTTCTCAACCTTTTGAGTTATACTGCTAACCAATTAACAAACTAACACGAGCTACCAAAAAGATAACCTCCTTTGCGTGTGTAAATTTTTAAATTATATCTTTAATTACTGGCCCTCCACCACTACAACCTTTTGCGGATCACCTGTATTATTGCTAAGATTGAATAATTGGGTTTAAAGGAAACATTATTACTATTCAGATATATCATGAAAATTCACACACAATGCACACAAAATACTAAAATATTTTATGAAAATGGAATGAAAGAAAATGAATGTAAATTTGCAATATAATTCATGTAAAGAAAATTAATATTACGATGTTACCTCGCTTCTGGTGCACTTTGTTCATGTGTGACCAATGTTCGTTAACTCAATAGTCATGATTTCCACACTAGATTTCTCACGTAAAGTCCGTGTGCTGATATGTCCTCGCTTTCTTCACTTTGCCTTACTTCTATCTCCTCTTCTCACTCCTCCTTACGCCTCATGCCTCACGCCTTTTACCTTAGCTCTCACGCCTCACGGATGCAGACGGGCGCACTTATTGGTGACGCGAATCAGCACTTTTCTACTACACACCGGAAATCCTATTAATTTATAGAAACCCTATTTTAATTCATTTCTTTACTTCTTTTTGTTCACTTTTAATGTCACTTTTCTACGTTTAATAATAAGTTAACAAGTGTTTTTTTCCTTACCGGATTTGCAAAGCAGTTGTTGATTGCCTCCTCGGGTGGGCATGTCTCGTCTGGGCAGCTGTGCGTGTGAATGTGACGTCACACTAGGGGATTTCCCTGGACATTCACTAATTTCATTTTCATCTTTTTTAATTTGATTTTATTTATTTTTTTATATATGTATCACACTAGATCAGTTTATTTATATTGGTCACATTTTTTTATTTTCTATTTATGTATTTCTTTTCCATTTTCTTTGGTCACGTAATGGATATTGGTCACTTTTCTTAGGTCATTTGTTTACTCAGAAATAATTACAATGTTTCCATAGAAAAAAAAATCTATTATGTGTGAACAAAATACGCATAATCCGATCTACATTCATTTACTCATTCAACATTTTATTTCATTCGAATGCACACTTCCTCATACACGTCACTGCTTCACAGGACTTCGTTCACACTTCGACTCGCACACTCACTCACTCTTAGCAGTCGCACGCTCACGTAGGATAATGTTCCTAACTGCCATTTCACCTTCTTTCTGACATTTAATTGCATTCCTTATATATATATATATATATATATATATATATATATATATATATATATATATATATATATATGCAATTAAATGTCAGAAAGAAGGTGAAATGGCAGTTAGGATCATTATCCTACGTGAACGTAGCGACTGCTAAGAGTGAGTGAGTGTGCGAGTCGAAGTGTGAACGAAGTCCTGTGAAGCAGTGACGTGTATGAGGAAGTGTGCATTCGAATGAAATAAAATGTTGAATGAGTAAATGAATTAGATCG